ATATAAATTGTTTGTTGTGAATTTATTGTTGAGATTTCTAGCTTGCAGATAAAAACTGCACAAATTAAGATGACTAAAACCAGTTCAGCTAAGAAGAAGGTTAAACCAGCACACCAAGATCATGTTGAACAGGAGAAGTTCACTTCCAAACCCAAGAAAATAGGGAGTGAGATTGATGACATATTTGCTGGAAAGAAGAGGAGGAACTCTATACAAGCTAACTCAAACGAGAGGAAGAATCAACTGAGAATAACTTACAGCAGCATAATTCCCTATAGTCCTAACTCCCCCAGTACTACCAGGTGTTGCTTGATGCATTTCAGTCTGAACAATCAAATGTATTGGTGCCAAACATTCCTGGTGAAAGAGTAAACACATGGTAACTGGGAGACATCAAAAAGTATGCTGTAGAAACTTATATAGAAATTGTAAAGGGGGTATGCTATTGATCAAAGAAGGAATAGTTGCCAGAGAAAGTTATTTGAAAACACAAAAATGACATGAGGTCCTAGAAAACATTATCAGTTACATTTAAGAGGCCAAAATCTATATTAATGCTATTGATTTAAATCATAATAAGTTCCACTTGGTCTATCGCAGATATTAAGACAAACTTTGATTACGATTGGAGGGCTATACCAAACAACCCGTTCTTTGATTAAGTGCAACACCAGAACAAAAATATGTCAGTTGCAAATTAGCACTTTATTATTCATGAAACGAATCCAACATCATTGACCGATGTTCATTGGAGCATATGGACTGCATCTTGTAATAGATTGTAAAAAATAGAATCTTGATCCGGCTGGTACTCAGTTTACAAATTTAACTCCTCTGCCTTAAACTTTCTGCTTGACTCGAGGCTGACAAAGAAGAAGTTGAGGAATCCTTATGCATAGTTCATGATAACTTTTTCATTTATAGGGAAAAAAAAAAAGAAAATAAGTAACACAAAAGAATTTTTTTTTCCCTTCTAGTTCTCTTGGGCATTAATGTTTCTTCTCTTCATCCAGGGTCATTATTCTAGAAAAAGAAATCTTTTTTGCCTAGTTGAGAATTCCGTAATCATGGATTGTTGATCTTTCATTAGACAAAGTCATCCTAGCCAATTACCCATGTCATTCTTCTCACTCAGACCAAATAAATTGCATCTTCTGAATTTTAACCATTTTGCATTTCTTACAACATACATGACACGTCCACCCCCCTCCCCCAATTTGTCTAACATTCTGCTGCAAAGCTTTTTCTTATAACATTTCCACTTGGCATTGCTTCATTTTAAATAACTAATAAATGTATTAACAAGTCCAAATAGCCTAATAGAAATTAATTTTACTTGTCACAGCTAGATCACAGCCATCACCTAATAAAGTGCATCAATTCCAATAACCATGTATCACAGCCAACTGACATACAATAAGTCATTGCACATACATCATTGCAGATGATGGACATATTCTAACGAGAGCTTCAAAGGGTCCAATGTCATATAATATGAAAAAGAACCACTATTATATCTTTAATATTCCCAGAAAACCAATTAATCAAGATAAATGATGCAGCCATTACCATTAACTCAATGATTCTATTGGATATCCAAGAATT